GACAGCCGCGGCGGGCAGGGGCAGGCAGAGGGGAGGATACGCTTTCTCTGATCTCTGGGGGTCCTGGGCCCAGAGGTGCTCGCGTTGTGAAAAAATCACGACGGACGTTTTTGGGCCGCTCTTGGTTCTGGAGCCCTCCACCGGGCCCCGGCGACGTTCCCACGCCAAAAATCCATGGACAACCTGGGGTCTCAGGGTTGGGTTTCTTGTGGAAGGTTTTTTGTGGACTGGCCTCCACTGTAGGTCGTTTTCGGCCCCTTGGGGCCTTCACCGTGCCTCAGGACCGTCAAGAGACGATTTAGGTTGGAAGGCTGGTCCCCGGTAGTGGGCTGAAACCTCTCCAGAGGCACACTCCTGTGATATAATCAGGACGTCAGAGGTCTTGGGGACGCCGTCCTCTGCTTTTCGCCGTGGAGCAGCCCGACTGGGAGTTACATTTTTTCGCACAGTGCGTTTTCATTCAGTTTCAGGCCATCACGCATCTATCTGGTCGACGATTGCAGCAGGAAGATGGGGTCGTGTTTGGTGCCCTGGCTGTGCTTTTCCGAGATGCCGTTTTTCTTCGCAACGTCGGATCTAATGTGCTTGTTGCTGTTGTGTGTGTGTGTGTGTGCGTTTGCCCCCCCCCTCTTTGCTCGCCGGCCCATTCGCCAGTTAGTGCCCCTGTCTAGCCTCTCGCTGCGGAGCTCGCCGCCTCGCCGCTGATGGAAAAGTGTGCGTGCGTGCGTGCGTGCGTGCGTGTGTGTGTGTGTGTGTGTGTGTGTGTGTGTGTGCGTGCGTGTGTGTGTGTGTGTGTGTGTGTGCGTGAGTGTGTGTGTGTGTGTGTGAGCTGGCCCGGCCGGCCCGTTCCGCGTCCAGCAGCTAATTAGGTCTGTTTCCGTGCCCCGGACAGCTTCTGTCGGCGCCTGCGCTTCCGCTTGCGCCAGCGACCAAAAAAAAGTCTGTGTGCGTGTGTAAACACACTCCGCCTTCTCCCGCGACTGCCCGCTCCGGTTTGCCCACTCTCCTGCTGTGCCGCATGGGGCCGCGTCCAGTGGCCCTGGGCTTCTCGACAGGCCCTGCGCGCTCGCCGGGCCCGCAACGGAAAAAATATGCGTGCAAGTAGGCCATCGGCGTCACTCCAATATGCGTGCTTCAACTAGAAGATTTCTCGGTGCGTGCGTCGCCCCCCCAGGGGCGACGCGCGCACCGAGAAATCCTGTAGTATACGTGTCGCGGCGGGCGCTTTCTGGCCACACCGCTGGGGAAACGATGTACTACAAGATGGGTATACCATATGTTCGGGTCGGACGCGCGCCTCCAAGGAGAACATATAGTACTAGTCTGTCTTTGTGCGTCCCAAGAACACGGTGGGGGCGTTCGTTGAGGAATGTGCGCAGGAGGTTCCTCATTTGATGAGGGCGGCGGTGATAGCCAAGGCCATGTCTCAATTGGTGCTCCACTGGGTTCCAGGCCCTGGATTCATGATCTAAGGGTTCCTCATCATTGGACGCCCTCGCCGTATTTGAATCCCCCGATGCCTCTCGAGCCCAGGGGGCATCGGGGGCTCCTGCACCCCCGCGGGAGGCGCGGGGACCCCTGGGGGCCTCCAGGAGCCTCTGGGGGCTGGGGCTTGGGCAGGGGAGGGGAGGGCGGAGGTGGTGCCGGGGCTGGGGAAAGTGAGGGAGAGGGGGGCGTGGAGGGTGATGAGGGGAGGTGGGGGAAGGTCTTTTCCAGGGAGCGGTGGGTCAGAGAGGGAGATGGACGCAGGCATCCTCCAGTATCATCTTGTTGTTGTTGTTGTTGTTGTTGTTGTTGTTGTTGTTGTTGTTGTTGTTGTTGTTGATGATTCATTGCTGAAGAATAATTATTTGTTGATCTCCGGAAACGGTTACGCTCGCTCTCGCCTCGACACCGGCTACATTTTCTCGGAAAACGAGGCTTCCGCGCGAGCGTTGGCTTGACCCTGAATGTGGGGCCCAGCTACGACAACAACGGTTCCCGCTCGACACTCCCTCACAATTTACCCCCAGACACCCTGGCCACAGAGGCCCCCGAATTCAGAAACGGCGCTCTCGCTCGAGACCTCCTCGCAATTCAATTAAGTTGGCGGAGGCCCAGCCACGACGACAAGGGCTTCTGTTCGATATTTCCTCACGGTTTACTCCGAGAGCCTTTGGCCAAGAAGGCCCCCGAACTCAGGAACGTCGCTCTCGCTCGAGACTTTCTTGTAATTCAGGCAAGTTGGTGGAGGCCCGGGCACGGAGACAAGGGCTCCCGTTCGATATTTCTCCGTAGGTATTCCGAGGGCCCCTGGCCAGAGAGGCCCCCGAACTCAGGAACGGCGCTCTCGCTCGAGACTTCTTCGCACTTCAGTCAGTGGCCGACAAGGAAGATATTCCCCCCGAAAGGGGGTGCAATCGAAGACGAAGTAGGCGGGTATCGAGGGTTGGGGTGTACGGAATGCAAGGCACGCATGCCAATAAGAGCGAACAGTCTTAAAGTGATTAATGTTGTTTTTCTTCTTCTTCTTCTTCTTCTTCTTCTTCTTCTTCCTCTTCTTGTTGAGAACGACGGGTTTCAGACGCCCCCCAGGGGGAGGGGGGGGATGGGGGGGGGGGCGCATCGCATCGCATCGGGGGGGGGCGCCGCGCCTACGAGATTCCTGTGGTATCCCTGGCATTCCTGGATTCTTGGGGATCCGTTTGGATTCCTGGATAGACTTGGGCATTCCAAGGGATTCCGACGGATGTGTGCGGAGTTATCTGAGTTTCTAGGGATTCCTGGGAATCCCTGAGGGTTCTTTTAGGAGTTCAGAGGATTTCTGAAGGAGTCTTTGGGATACTTTCGGATTCCTGCGGATTCCATGGGATTTTTGTGAATTCCCAGCGAATTCGGATTCCGATGGATTTGTTTGGACTCTGGAGGAGTCTTTCGTCCTTCTGGGTTTCAGAGGATCCCGACGGAGCCCGAAGGATTCCTCAGGATTCAGAGGGATTCAAACGGATTTTTTGGGGCTCCCCAATGCTCTAATGAATCGCGTTTTCGTTGGAAACGTCCTCGCGATTTGCCCAGGATTTGCGCTCCTTCTTTACCACTTACACGCTGTCGCCCAGACTTTTCGCTCAAGCCTGCCGCACACTTTACTCAGGAGTCGAGCTCTCGCTCGACAGTTCTTCGCGATGTACTCAAGAATGCAGCTTTTGATTCCTCGCTTGAGACGGTGGTGATGATGATGCCCTTGGTGATGTTGAATCGTGTTGTTGTGGATGATGCTGGGGGTGAAAATGGTTGTGAGTATGCTACTGATGATGACAATGGTGATGATGGTCACGATTATCATGACGACAATGGTGATGGTGATGCGAATAACGCAGATGCTGATTATGTTGATGATGGCGATGCTGATGCCGATGATGATGTTGATGTTGATGTTGATGTTGATGCTGATGGTGATGGTGTTGATGTTAGCGTTGAACATTTGAATGATGTTGATGTCGGTGATGATGATGCTGATGATGACGGTGCATTTGTTGCTGATGCTGACGACGATTGTGATCGTGCTGGCGAAATTGGTGATCATGCTGTTGCTGATGCGGATGGCGAGTGTTATGGTGATACTTCGGCTATGCTGGTGTTGGTGGTGATGACGATGGCGGCGGGGAGGGTGCTGATTCCAGTGGCACGGGTAGGTATGGTGACGACGACGCCAACGACGATAGTGATGTTGATGACGATCACGATGGCGATGGGAACAATCGTGATACTGATGTTGTTGATGATGCTGATGCTGATGATGATGCAACCGATGACGATGAGGAGGCTGTTGCTGCTGATGATGATGGTGATGACAGGGGTGATGGTGGCCGCGATGATGAAAACGGTGGCGACTATGCTGGTAAGCATGGTGGTGATGATGATGGCGATGATTCTGACAATGAATGGTATGATGATAATGATGATGATGCTGATTCTGATGACGATGATGCTGATGATGATGATGGCGACGGCGACGACGATGATGGCGATGGTGGTGATGCTGATGGCGACGACGATGATGGGGATGAGGATGGCGATGTTGCTGTTGATGCTGATGATGATGTTGATGATGATGAGGATGCTGCTGCTGCCGATGATGGTGATGCTGCTGCTGATGGTGATGATTGTGCTGATGATGATGGTGCGGATGATGGTGGCGATGATGATTGTATGATGATGGTGGTGGTGGTGGTGGTGGTGATAATGAGGATGGCGCTGCTGCTTGTGATGATGATGCTGATGCTGCTGCTGCTGAGAAGGATGATGATGATGCTGATGATGATGATGCTGATGATGATGATGATGCTGATGATGATGATGATGATGAGGACGACGATGGGTGTGAGCGGGGAGGGCGGAAGGATGCAGGACGTACGCTCTGAGGGAGCGAGGGGTGATGGTTAGCGAAGGAGCGGGGGCTCTCTTACTACCCTCGTCAAATTAATCTAAAAGATGGCGAACACGCCCCTGCGATGTCGGCGCGCCCTTCAATGTCGATCGGCGCCCCTTCAATGTCGGGGCCAGGGCAAAGGTGGTCTGACCAGGAACGACTCGGAAGTTCGATGATGACCGACGTTGGAGGGGCGGCGCATACAGTACCTCGCAGTCATCGCTACGCTTTCCAGTATCTCCCCACAAACAGTTCAGCCACGTACGACATTTTTGAGGTTCATTTTGACGAGGGTTGGCCGCGCGGAGTGCCTGCGAGGCCAATGAATGTTGCGCGGATCTGCAGTTGTACCTTTGACGTGCCCTCAACCAATCAAAACTGTGCTTTGGCTGGCCACTGGCGCGTCGATGACGACGCCAGTACTGCTGGTGGCAATGATGACGATGGCGATGATGATGAGGATCCGATGACGTTTTTTCCAGTTCAGTGCTTCGTGCGCGCGTCTGGAGGCTTCGCCTCCCAGACGTCCTGCGCCCACTCCTTCTGCGCGTGGCACAGGTACTGCAAGTATTCCGCGCTGTTCGCATTCATC